AGCCTCCATCCTTCATATGACGAACATCATCAGAGCAAGGTATCATCGTCACAACCAGACTCAAGCTGACGAGTCTTTGACAAGGTATAAAGTGATTTGGTTAGTTACGGTAGTACGTCAACTTCGAAGCCTGTGAGTGTGTCTGCACATACATATACAGACACACTGATAGGCTTCGAAGTTGACATACTACCGTAACTAACCAAATGACTTTATACCTGATCAAAGAGGGAATCCGCCGTCATGCTCTGGTAGAATCGACCTTCGAATCGCTTCATCAAACACTTTCACAACAATTCTGAAACAAGTGACTCCTCTAAACCCAACTTTTCTTCGCATATTGACACATTCATTCGAACAATAAAAAGGAGGGAGGTTGCTTGGTTTGGTTGGGTCGCCTGTAGTGAGATCGGTTGCAGGAGAGAGAAAATATTTACATCAGCACTTTTGATGCCGAATCTGCGACTCAATCCCGGCGTGTGGTGCTTGTTGTTAGTCTTTGCTGCCATGGGCCCTCAGGCCTCAGGCTTCTCTCGCTCTGGTTGTGCTGAAGAGATTGAGATGAAGAGGAAAATGCGGTCGACTCTGCAAGGCAGCACTGATTTGGAGGGGAGTTGTGGAGGTGTGCAATGCGTTGACAGAACAGAGCATGGTCATTTGGGGTTTTGTCGAAGCCGGAAATGGGTATTTCTGGAACAAGCCCCTTCAAGCGCAACCAAGAAACGAGGCCAGCTTATGCGTTTCCTCACATGCCTCTTCCCAAGATGGGTGAAAAGTATGCGTCAAGGTGGATGTGGGTTTTGAGAAAGCTATCGGCTCATAATTGTTGGCTCACTTCCATTTGAGCAAAAGTATGTGTAATGAGGAGAGTTGACTGTCGACACCACCAGTAGATAACGGCGGATTCGTATTGGTCAGCAGTCGATTGGATTTTCTCGAACATTCTGGTTACTTCGAGGATATCTTCAATCGCCAAATAACAAAAAAATCCAGCCGGTTGCTGACCAAGAGAATGTCGCCTTCGTCTTCCTGTGGCTTCGGCATTCGAATATCTTCATCACAATCAATTTCACTTTTCACATGCCCCAAAATGAATGATAATTGTGCATAAAAGAGTATGTGGATGCACAATGATAAAGAAAATTCATGTTTTCCATATCCTTTTAGACCACGCTTGTTGAACTCACCTTCCTTTCGAGTGAAAGTGTGCCTGTGATTAAGACAGTTGTTTTAATATTAATTTAAATTGACCCCATAATTTAACCGTAAAGTCTGCATAAACTGAAAAATGTCGAATTTTGCATTGATCTTTCCCGTTTCCTCCTTTGGCCATTTGTTAACGCCTATTTTGATTTATGTACCCAAAAAACATTACAGGAGGTTTTTTGTTGGAATAACCATGTCTATGTGGGTGGATATGTCGACCCATCATTGACATTATCGCATTAACACACAACCTTATAAAAACCTGAACTGAAAATAAGGTATGATTTGGAGAAATATTAATCTTTACTTGTAAACTGATATTACAGCAACATTATAAATTAAAAGATTTTCCCAATTCTCTGTTCTTTCATTCATCTTATTTCCTAATAATGTTCAATAATTGACAATCAATGTTGATGAATGATTGTTCTGAACTAACATTTGTCTTAACCTTTCCCACTCTTAATCCATATCGCTAACCACATAAGTACGGCTCGAGTCCCTAAACATCCCTATTCCATTTTTTCTTTTCTTCAATAGCCCTGACTCCAAACTTTGCGGATTTAAATTCTTCTGTATCCCATTCCATTTGCAGTAACCTGCCCCAAGCCCTCATGGCTGAGTCGCCAAACGATAAACTATTCGGCAATGTATAATATTCATTTGACCTTGTTTCCGCAACTGCGACCAAAATAGAGGTCACACCATATTGGTCTTCGTATATTCGGCAATGTACCCAGCGAATAACTTAAAAAGTGATTGTAATCATTGAACTAGGCGAACCTCTAAATGAGCCCCTCTTTTTGTTCACCAAAATTGATCAAAAACCCTACCCCATAGCTAGCATTAACTTTTGCACATACAATTTGTCATTATTACTAAGATACATACTGTGTATTAATAAGTTCATCACTTTGGCTCACATTTTCTCCCATTTCTAAAGTCTGCAACGGTCTAATACTAATAATTCGCCAGTTTTACCAAGCGTATGTAAATATATGTGTACATCCACACCAATTCAAATGAAGCTCCACCTTCCCTCATTTGCGTATAAGCTAAATTGGCAGAGTTGTAAGAATTCCCCACAGAAAATGGCCAATATTTAGAGATTTGCTCTAATTGAGTGTAAATAAATTTCGGGCTTTTTCTTATTCATCGATACTTCTCCCCTGTGCATTTCAAGCAGATTGTATGAATTCTAAGTCCAGCATCTTGTTAAAGGAGTGCATTCATTTCCCACGTCTACACTTCTCCTACTCACTGTTGCAGGCAACACTTAAGTCCAGTTTTCAGGATTCATGAATTTTAAATTTTGTACATTTACAAATCTAGTAATGCCTGCAATGCTCTTTGTTGTGCTTTTTCCTACTGATTATCACAATTGCCCTTCATTTGTCGGTACCCAAATCTATTTCCTTATTTTGTGCATATGTGATGTATTCACCCAGTTTCGTTTAATGTGATAAAGGACTGGTAGTTGAATTTTCCAACAATGTAATGAGTAGACCTTACGTTTCCATTGAATGTCAAAAAGCTTTGCTTTCCAAAAGGTTTTCTCATCTCAGCTAAGGTGGACTGCAGATTTGGGACTCGAATAGTGACAATGCAGGATGTCATTTTGGCACGTTAACCACGTTAGCCAGATTTGCATGGGTGACAGGGAAAATGTGAATTTCAAGCAAAGCCAGGCAGCTTAGAATATCACATTCTGTGGTGGGATTCTCGATGAAGCAAACTTATATTTGCTATAGCAAGCGATGATATTACCTATATTTCGTTTTTGATCAGGTTTTCGAGATCACCAGATATGTTCATCCTATTTCATCGACAGTCCCACCACAGAATGTGATATGGGAAACTGCCTGGCCTTCCTTTAAATTCACATTTGTGTCGTAACCAAAGGGTAATCGTGGCAATGTGACGTAGTGGTTGACGTGTCTAAATGATACGTCGAACTGTCATGGTTCAAGTACCGCTAGGCGTGTTGACAAAACCTACTTCAGCCTGGAGGAGAACACCTTTTAGGAAAGCAAGACTGTGTAAAATTAAATGGGGGAGTCAGTTCTACTCATATTGTTGTGAGAAAAAATTCAACTACCAGTCTTTCTAAACTCAGATGAAATAGGGTGAACGTAACCCATACACAACTTATTTTTCATTAATAAGTAGGTTTCCAAGACAACCGGGAGGTCAGAAATAGGAGATATGGTCACTATATTTCGTTTAAAGAGCAGACTAAAACACGAGGCGAGCAGTATCGAAAACCTATTTACAAACATTTATGTTATGTTTCGTTAGGTTAATATTACCTTTACTATTGTTGTGCTATATTGCATTTCCATGAACTGTCAAAAAGGGGAAACCGGAAACAAAGTTTTGCTTTTAACCACCTCTACGAGTCACTCGGCAAAACTAGTGAGTACCATACATGTATCAACAGTGTATTTCTTACCATCTAGTATACAAAGTTTAAATAATTTAAAATATACACTTCAATGTTAATTACAAACGCTTTTGTGGACAGGTTGGCCATATTCTGGCCATTTCCACATTAGAGCAACTTTCATTTGGTATGAAGAAGCGAGTTGAGGCGATTCTTAGATTGGCTCGACTAGAAGATGTGGGGTTATTGTCTTTCATCCGCCATGTGACGGGCATCGTCAGAGCAGAACACCATACCTAACGATAATTCACCAAAATGCGAAGACAAGAAGATGGTAATCGCAAATCTACTATGTTATAGAAGTGGGTTGACCTGGTTGTCGCAACTTGGTCTTGTTGTCAGGAGGACTTAGTAGAACGCACCTAGTCGGAAGTCGTCTGCCTTAGTAGTTGTCATGATTCCCACCATCAGACAGTGGACTTGGTGCATTCTAAAACATTTCGCCGACATCATCAGTGCCATTCTCCGCACCAACCTACGAACTGATCAAAGAGACAAGGGAAGTCAATGCCTCGACAAACGTTA